AAACAAAATCAAGTGATGACATGCTATTTATACATACATATTTCGTCTTATATATATAAATGAGCACGGTGAGAAGTTATTAGCGATTTTTCTATTTTGTTTTGCTCTCGCTTTGTAAAAATTTGCTTTTCTTTTAGGATACATAATCAATACAAGTATTATTCTTTGTTATTCATTGAATGCCAAGAATATAGAATGATATTTATGTCGACTCTCTCTCTCTCTCTCTCTCTCTCTCTCTCTCTCCTACTGTCACTCTCCTCTTAAATATCAACTATCTCTACTACTCCTCTTAGATATCAAAGAAGTAATAATAGTAATAATAGTAATCTATATATAATCTCTTGAATTAAATAATGTTTTGTTATTTTTTACTTCTATCTCAGCAAAATTACATGTAACATACAAATGTTAGTTATAATTTTCCACTCAATAATATAATTGTATAATAATATAACATGTGTATCATATTATATATATTGTTATATTGTTAGTTATATTGTTAAGTGGAAATTTAACATGTATGTACATTACATGATTACATGTAACCAGAGTTGGGAACATTACTTTAAAAAATAACGTATTACCGTTAGTTACAATCAATTTTTGTTAAAAATAATTTATTATCGTTTATTACTTCAAGTTACTTACTTTTTAAAAGTAATTCGACCTTTATTATTATTTGAAAAAGTAACAAATCTTTATATTTTCGTTATTTTTCGGGAAATTGTAAGTTTTGCTCCCTCATGTACGATGTTAATAAAATTAGACTCATTCGATGCGTTTATGCACAAAAAATGACCGAAGTTAGTAGAAACAATCGGGAGTTAAATTCAACCATCATCGAATTTAAATTAAATATTGTTTTAAACATAATGTTATTATTAAGAATGTATTTCAAGATTCACTTCCAGTATTGAAAATCCGTAATATTATTATATGTATTACAGATTTTCACTGATAGCAACTATCGGAATGCAGTCTAAGATATAAACTATAAAATATTTTTTAAGAATTAAAAATGAAAAAATAAACATTTTATAATTATATTTATTACAAATAATAATTTTTATTATACAGGGTGGTCTACTTAAATCGAACATTTCGAACATCTTGAATATTTCGCTTATTTTTGATGATACAAAGTTTCAAACGAAAATTGAACGGTTTCGAGGGTGATGTATTTTGATTATGTTTTTTTTTTAGATAGAGGCATCAAAAAGATATGAAAGTCGCCTACACTTTTTAAAATGAGATTATATGATTTTTTTTTTTAGATAATATGATTTCTCTAATTATTTTGCATATAAAAGTATTAAGGTACAGATTAAAAAACCGATAGTTTACGATAAACTGAGTATAAAAAGAGTAGGAAAGGACAGAATAATGAGACAAAAAGTGTAAAGACAGTTAGTGTAAAGAAAACATATTATTGCTCTAAAAAAATTGTATGCAAAATTTTTTTAAATAAGTAACTATGTGTTTTCTTTTTATCAATTGATTCATCTCATTATTCTCTTCATAAAAATATTATAAGGTATTATAAAAAAATTAATAGTTCACGAGTTATTTAACATTTTATGTCAATATGTGCCAGAATAAAATGTAAAATATCTCATCAACTATTAAGTTTTTGATATTACCATCTTAATACTTTTATATGTAGCATAATTATAGGAATCATATTGTGTAAAAAAATCATACAATTTCATTTTAAAAAGTGGAGGTAATCTTCATATCTTTTTGACGTTTCCTAAAAAAAAACCAACATGACCAAAATACATCCCTCTCGAAACTCTTCCACTTTCATTTGAAACATTTTTTTATATCATCAAAAATAAGCGAGATATTTCAGATGATCGATTTAAGTGGATTATCTTGTATATAATACAATTAAATTGTAGATACATTTATATAGAAGGAAATCACCGATATTAACATAGGTTTTCTAAAGTGACACCTCTTTATTTCTCAGAAATAAACTATTGCACTTTATTAATATGGTACTAATAAAATAATGATCTGTTTAATTAAAGAAATACAAATTCATAATTCGTGTATTTGTAACTTGTATCTATATCAAATCAGCTAAAAACGAATTTTACGAATGCGAAAATAAAATTTTTACATCTTCTTTTGTAAATTGCATAGTTTAAATAATAGTGACTATATTATTGATAATATTACGTCATTTTAAATGCTTATAATTTCCTAAAGTTTTATTTATATTATTTTTTCTTTTAATTTTTTCATAATACAATTTTAAATTTTAAATTAGAGTGTAGCATAAATCGCCACATCTGTCTAAAACAGATCATGAGCTTAATCTTTATAATGTTGCTTTATAATATCAAATAGCTCTATTGGAGCTGAAGCCAATCATGCATATATGGAAAAACTCTTGAAAAGTTATCGTATTACATATTTGCATCTTGCAAAACAGCGTAAAGTAAATATGCATATATGTAATTCAATAAAAATGTTTTATAACGAAGTGAAAAGATTCTGGAATATCTTATATACATTCACTTGTAGGTATACAGATAATTCCTATAAAAGAAAAAGAATAGAGAAACGTAGCATTACTGTGTCAGTTTTGGAACCTATTTTGTCAGATGCTTATTTTTACTTACCTCATGAAAAAATTAATTATTGCAAAATTGCAAACAGTATTATAAATTGTTACTACTATCACAACAGTATTATAAATTGTTACTACTATCTGATGGAAGACATTTTTTTAGTTTATACTTATGTTTTTAAAGTTTTATTTTGACCTTTGTTTAAGAAATATTGTCTAAAAACAAAGTATATCGGTGACTTTCCTCTACTTACACAAGCATCTAAAAAAATTTTAAATATTTCGCTCATTTGTAATAACAACTTAGATAATTAAAAGTACATAGACTTATATAAGTACTTATGAAAGTACACTTCTTAAGGACAAAAACGAAACATCTTTCAGTTATTTAACTAGTTCTTCGGATTCTCGATAACAATCGAAGAGCTAGTTAAACACAATTTTACAATTTTGGACTTTCAAATTTCAGACCAGATATCTATTTTGATCCGTAATATCTTAACAGGAATAAATAAGATTAGCTTAGAGCGATAATTTTTATTATGTATCGTATGTATCATATGTAAATTCGTTAATATTGTAAGGGATTATATATACGTTTTTTTTATTAGCATTGATGAGACTTTGTAAATCGAAACATTTGAAATTTATAGCGTTATATGTATGTAATTATAAAGACGAATTTTATCAATTAACTACAATTGCTCGTTTTAAAAAAGCCGTAACATTTTAATTTATTGCATTTACACGAACCTATTTTTCTATACTGAGAAAATATTAAAAAATTGCAATCAAAGATCATATTTTGATGAAATTGTGCTACTTTTAATTGTGATTTTCTACATGTTCCCATCAAATCAGTGAAATAAACGTTTGCAGAATGGATTCAAAAAATACAAGAAAATATGTATAAGAAAGATTCTATCGTTTAAATCAAAATCTTATTCCATTCTCTTATGAGTCAAATTTAATACATTTCTTGAGTTACAAGTCTTTTTTTAATTTGCTTTTTAATTCAATTGAAACAAAAGTCATCAAGTTTTTGCTTCAACGTTCAATAACTCGGTGAAAAAAAAATCATACAACACTCAATAAAAAAGTAAATTGAATAAAGATTGCACTCTTTCGATTGCTGTAAATCGTATTTTTGTGTGATTTTTACTTCACGTCAGAGGCCTTCGTAAAATTTGTACAACATTTTCAGATTTGACGGGTATCCATTTTTGTCTGTATAAGTTCCGTAAAAGAGTCAGATTGAAATATCAATCCGATTTCAAAAATAGAGATTTCAAGCTTTTAAATGCTTTTTTGATATTTTGTCTGCGATGATGATATGATTTTTCACTGAGTTCTGTAATATAAATATTGCGCAATTTTGAACACGTTCAAAAGTGTTTCCTATTTTTTGTTGAATAATGTATTAGAAACAAGGAATGAAAAGTTTCTTTTTAAAACAAGTTACAGTTACTCATTATCGAGTAGAAAATCTAACAAGTTACTATTACCAGTTATTAATTTTTTAAAATAACTCGTTAGAGTTATCGTTAGAGTTACCGTTATTTGAGAAAGTAACTTTTCATTATTTTTCCGATACTTTTTTTAAATCGACGATCACCAATCACAACGAACGGATGCCTAGAGGCTTTTAAGTTTAAAGCGCTATGAGTAGCTTGTGTCCAATTGAACCGTGTCCAATCATGTACAAAGTAACGATAAAAGTAATTATAAAATCATTACTGTTACTAAAAAATTATTACGTTATCATTACAGTTACCAAAAAGAAAAAGTAACACATTTATCAAAATAAAGTTATTAAGAAAGTAACTTGTAATTGTAACTTCGTTACAACCCAAATTACTAAAAGTCGACTATAAGTTGATTAGAGAAGTCAAGAGTCGACTTCAAAGTCAGTCGACTAATAATCGACTAATAGTCGACAGATACTTGTCTCAAAAAAAGTCAACTAAAAATCGACTATATTATGATGATTAAGTTTGCATTTGACGCGTTCTTTAAATATTCTTGCTCACCTTAATTTAATTAGCAGATGTACAGCTCTCTCTGACTCGTATATATGTATTATATATATATGTGTGTGTGTGTGTGTGTATACATATATATATATATACACACATACGATATTTTTCTCCATATCTACATCAAAAAATTATTATGCTTATTTCTGTCATGCTTCATCTTCAATAACTATAATGACATCTCAATCCCAGAGTAGTAGACAGTTTATGAAATAGGTAAATATAGCAACTCGTGTTGTTAACTTGTTATCTTTTTAATTCTGCATGAGACTATTAATTTGTTCTATGTACAATGATTTTATTTAAAAATTTATCATAACTACTCATAGCATAAGTTAGATCGAATTAGAAAAAAGTGAGACATCTTTTATTGAAGATGCTTTGTGTCATT